TGACATTGAATAAAATGTAAAAATATTTTCCGTCGGCCTAAAAATCAAACATACTACAGTTTCATTAACCTGTTTAACGGTATTGTTGTAAATCTCATCAAATATTGTTCATAAATTAGGATTTTAAACGGAGAACCCCACGGTAACACTTAAGTTCTTATAAGAATTTTAACATGCAAATGAAGACTTTAATTAGCTCGTGTATGTGCTACGTCACAGTTTATAGTTGCTATCCGGAACACAGCAAATATGATATTTTTCTTGTGCAAACACACTTTAACCGGTTTAGCTTCACGGTGCACTAAGCCTGGGGTTCAGTGAAAGTAATCATCTCGTAAAAAGATAAAATTTGTATGAAAACATCCGTAACAATGCGGAAATATACCGTTAAATTAGGACTGCTACTTATTGTCATGTTTATTGATTCAATATTGATGTACGTATGACCCGAAGGCAGAGTTTCTCATGCAAACAGAAAATATACTTCCCATTTCGCCACAAGGAGGTTACCCATTTGAAGGCTAATATAACTCATTTTAGTTGTCTGTACACCAAAATAAGACCTGGAGTCGATATAAAACTCAATTTAATAATGAAATTTTGCTGTTTAGTTTTTATATGAAATTTATTAAATGTAGCTTTAATATCCATTTTTTAAAGAATCTGAGATATCATGATTTAGAAACTTCTTTTACGATTTTATGATGTACTTAAAACAAAATCTGTTTCCAAGTCATGTAGGTATACGAGGAAATGAAAAAGTAGATGCTTTAGCTAAACAATCATTAAATTTTCAATAAACTGACTTATTGTTACCTGCTTGTGATTTTATATGTGCGGCTATAAGCAAACTCATCATCTGAATGGAAAGCAAATTGGTTCAATGCCGTTTTTAATAAACTTAACGACATAAACCCATCCCTTGATGTGTCACCATCTCTATCTCTGTCAAACCGCCATGATCAAATAGTTCTTCGATGCCGAATTGGACACACTAAAATTACGCCCCTTTCTATGTAGCTTGTAATGAATGTTTTACTGTCGAACATTTTCTTCTTGAATGTCATGATTTTTCACAGGCCCGTAATAGATTTTATCATGTAAACTCACTCAAAGAACTCTTTAAAACGATTCCATAAAAAATCATCATTGATTATTTGAAAGATATTAACTTGTACTCTAGGATCTAATTGACTCATTTTTAGTGTCATTTACAAAACATTGCATAACATTTTTAGCCTATTATAACATTCGGCGCGATATGGCAAGTCATGTGTTGACGTGCCGTAAAAATCAAACAAACAAACAAAGTTTCCCACCGCATTGTTAAAGTGTATGTGCATGACATATTAATGTGTTTTCAATTAAATTTATTTGTCTGCTATTGTAACGAACTATTTGATTTAGCGCCCTCAAGAGAACGCCCTTTTGATATTTTTAAACATACAATAGAAGGTATGAAATTTTATGTGACAGTTGTCCGGTAAAACAACAATTTTATTTTCCTTCGAGATAATTTCAACATTCCAAAATTAAAACTAAATAAAAGATATATGGCCGTGTAAGTGTAACTTCATTTATCTACATACAAAGCTATTTCAAATCAGTTTTACATAGCCTCTTAACATATTGAAAAAGATTGTGTTATAACCGTAAAACTATTAATTGGTGTCTGTGATGGTTCCAGGCTTAATTCGTAAGAATTATATTGGACATTCACATCGCATGATATCAAATTAAAATCAGACATCTATTATGAATGTAAGGTTGGATACGTAACGTCTATCATTCTTATATTATTTGGCAGATGAAATGAAGCCGTGCATTGAATTATTTTCTGCATGTCGGTACGTGTAGTTTCCAACATTTATACGTTATCATAAATGTTTTATACTTTATTATACCTTTTTATCTCAAATACATTTCTACATTATTAAAATGTTCTCTAGACAACCTATTATTGTCTATTCTATCATTTTCGAGATGACACTTTAATATATAACATGAATTCAGAGCAAGTGAAATATCTGACAATGACAAAAAACCATGTGAATAATTTAAGATATGAACTTCAAAGAAGCAGAAAGAATTGAAACATTAACAGAAATTAGTTGACTCTAAATAATAAAACTAAGTCAAATTAAAATCCATAAAAAGATTATTTTCTGTGAACGTGACGAAGCATTGAAGACGAAAACTTTGCATGAAACACATATTATTTTGCAGAAAAAAGTGGATCTACTTTAAAAAAGGAATTCTGAATTGAATGATTAGTGGCAAATTTACAACGCAAGTCTTATATTCATTAATGGAAAAAATAAGTGAAAATAAAACGAAAAAGAACGTCAATGCTCAGAAATCAGTTATTATCGTACTGCACTAAAAAGGGCTAAAAACAACGAGACAATAGAAAGCATATCAGAACTTTTGACCAAGACAAAGAAATTGATAGTGTTTATCACAACAAAATCCAAACTAGAGACGTTGACGGTCTTTTTAACACAGACATGCGTCTTTGTGTAATGTCACTCTTTAATCTTATAATTGGTGTGGCCAACATTTCAAAAGCTATTAAAGCAGTTTCTAAACATTTGTTCAAATGTAATCTTGAAAAAGCAGATCTACCAAGTGAATCAACAACACAAAATAATGTTGATGAAAGCCAATACTTGACCAAAGTTATGATAGCGGACAAAATTGATTCTTGCTCACATTTTGGTGTAAATAGCGATGGCATATCCATGAAAAACAGCATATTTTAGATACCTCAGTAACATTAGATTTGGGTGAAGTTATAAAATAAGGATTCACAAAAGAAGCCAGACAAACAGCTAAAACCGTAAATTAGGTTACAAAATCCACATCAATAAACTTTCAGACCTTTGCAACTTTTGATGCAAAATCAAATGAAGATTAAACCAAACGTTTACTACAAAATCTTTCATTCACGATGAGTGACTGTGCCTCAAACAAAAAGTTAGCCAACAAATTGCTTGTTAAAAAGTGACAAAAATAAAATTGATGATGTGCTCAGTTTCTGTTGCATGGCCCATGTTTTGCTTAGGTTTCATAGCTACATTTGTTCAGAGATTAAAACTATGGAGAAAGAGCTTGAAAAGAAACAAGTGCCAATATGTAGTGATGCTCTTCAAATGTTTAAAATGTAGTTCAAAAAAGAAACAGTGGTGGAGAGGGCGCAAAAAATTACTTCCGACATCTTTGGTCCTGATGGGGATCACCTTGGTTTACGGGATGCCTTGGAAGCCTATTTTGCTGCAAATGGAATAAGGTAATATATAATTAGAATAAACATTCGTTTGACATAAAATATATGCATATTAAATTCTATTTATTTTTTTTAAATTGAATTTAAAATAAACTTGCATATAAAAAAGATAATATCTTGGCTTGTTAACATAATTTATAATGTTATGTATGCAACATATTACATGTATATAGATTATATCTGACCAGTTGGTATTTCCAATATTGTCATTGTTCTATTTTTAGAACATAAACTACATGTATGTACTAGAACGTTCTTAACTGTTGTGAAAAACTCATGCATTATATTTAGATAGAAATTTCTGGAATGATCTTTATTGTTGAAGTTGCTAGATTATGATTACTGTAGTAAATGGAAGACTATTCTAGAAACTTCTTAGTTAATATATATAAGGAGACATTTTTCATTACTCTTATCTTTAAGTCATCAGTTACCTTTTTAGTCATCAGTAATCTTTTAAGTCATCAATATATTTGGAGTATTATTCAACTTGGAAATTAAGTGATTTATTGGAGCTTGGATTATTAATTATTCTTGTGGATTTTATTGTGGGAATTTATTCTAAAGTGTTCTTGGATTTAACTTGGATTTAACTGTGCTATTCAAAAAGGATCATTCCAGGATCAGACTAGACATTAGATTTTACATTTTTATTTGGACTTCAGGTATTTGTAAACGTAATTTGTTATTTTATTTTTCTTTAATAATTTTTCTGTAATAAATTTGTTATTGTTACAAGTTTGTTGCTGGCTTTTCTTTCTCGTTACGCCTGGCTCGTAACAATAACAACTGCTGAGTAATCAAGCTACCATTTGGTATCAACTACTAACTCTGTGTTGCATTCATTTACAACTGCTGATTAATGTTAATGCGGCATAAGTTTCAGTTCAATATATTTTTTAATTCAATATACCTAAAACGTTTATACATTACTTTTTCATTTTTTATCATATATCTGTCATTGGCAAATACAAAGATAATCGCTTTAACGGACTGCTCCAGACCGCTGCAGACGTCTTGTATCATCGAAACAAATTTATTAAGGTACTCGACTCAGTTCCGAAAAACAACAAGAAAATCCAGGCTGTAAAAGCAGATTCGCAGAGAAAACGTGTAGGGGAATGCTTTGAGCCTTGTGCATCCTATACATACAAATAACTGGTTCATACTGGTGGCTGGCTGGTGTCAGAAGGTCCATTTCTATATCCTTGGCTTGGACCGATAATAAAAAAAAACTTAACATGTGCTGAAAGCTTGTGAAGAAAATCCAGAAAGATTACTAGACTTTCTGATAAAGACATGAAGTGGTTCGATTGAAAGAATGTTAAACCCCCTATGAAGAAACATTTGTCAAAGTTGTAAACAACATTAAACCTACTAATTTCCTAAAGGACACATTGAAAACAATGGCAGCAGCTATGAAGATAGCTATCCAAAAGCAGCTGCAATACTTCTCATTGGACAGTGCAGTGAAGAGCCCTCAGAACATGATTTAAAAAGAAATCTAGGGTGTGAACACAATTTTGGTGACCTTTACAGTAGCAGGTTGGGCACATTAAATTTAAAGATATCCTTTAAACTAAATGGCTTTGAATTTGAGTGAATAAAGACGGAAATTATCAAGTTATAACTATTGCGCATGCACAGGAAATAAATTATGCAGGAAAATCACATGTCAGCTAAAACGTTTCTAATGTAAACAAGACATTTCGAAACAAATAAATAAATTTAAGCACATTGTACCATTAAAAACCCGGCATCACTTACCAATCATATAAAGTAAAATAATATCTTCACTATAACAATAATATTCACGGCTTTACCATTTTTGCACTTCCGTTATTCACAAATGGCTTTCATTCTTTGATCAAGGTCCATAGGTGCTTTATTTCCATGCAGCTGATGATGTTGTTTTGATATTAATTAAAACTATGGAAGGACAAAATTGCAATAAGTGCTGAATGGTGCTTATATGAAGGGTGTGTGTGTGTGTTTGCGTGCGTGCGTGCGTGCGTGTGTGTGTGTGTGTGTGAAGAATTTTGCTAATAACATAAATTTATTCAATACTTTTAACATCTACATAAATATATAATAATTTTGTAAGTCTATTTTTGGAGTGATTTTCACGTAAAGAAAGAATATTTACCATTATAAGATATATATATATATATTACTAGTATAACTGTCTTACTGTTGCATTTGTACAATTAACATAAATATAATTTACAATGTGGTGTTGTTATATTTTTATATATAATAATTTTGACTTTTTTTTTATTTTTTTCATCCTCTGTACACCCCTAATGTATTAACTTTCTTTTTTATGGTAGAACACACCTAATTTAATACCTTCGTTTAAAATTATATGATAATATGGTTAATAAAAATTAATAATTAATTAATTTTAGGAATGAACTCAATTGACAAACTTATTGTACAATATAATACGGAATTCATGAAACATAACATAGGTGACTATTCCCTTATTGAATCTAAAAATAATGTTGACAAACCAGGACAACTCTAGGCGAACCTTGTATGGTTAATCCATGTTCATACACATCTGTTGAAAAAGTACTTGATCATTTGTATAGTCATCCTGGGATAGGAACGGAAAGGGAATGGACAAAAATAAGATGTGACAGGTCATTTATTTACTGGTGGCCTCCAGAATAATTGAAAAATATCTAAAATACCAGCAATTTTTAATTGAGCCTGGTTTAGGACATATAGAAATAAACATTGTGGAAAGCATATTCAAATTGTGATTGAAGTTATACTGAAACAAATAGCCCATTTCTATCTGGGCGCAAACAGATAAAGAATTAATGGAACCATTTATAAAAGATTCTTTAAGAAATGGAAATAACCAGTTACTTTTTATAGAGACTTAAAAACAACAGTTTTAGCACGAGAAAAAACCAAGGAATTCATGTGCAAGAATCAATGTCTCTGGAAACATTTTCGAAAGCATGTCAAGATTTCCTTTTAGAATCAAAGACTAGAACAATAAAGATGCTTAACCTAGCAGAGACAGATGTATTACATCGTGTCAATCTTTCGATTACCTTGACCAAGTGAGGTTTAGTAAGTAAATTATACATAACTTGTTTAACCTCAAAGTTTACCATTGTATCACCGAAAAGGCCGAGGAATTTATATTTAACACTAAAATGCGTACTTTGCCGTACAATTTGACATACTAACTTATTTCAATAAAAAATAAAACAAAACAAAATATCATCATAAATGCATTTCATATTTATGTTGTATGAAGTGGGCACAAAAAAGTAACGAAAAATCCAACACATTTAGCATGATACTAATTTTTACATGTTTTTCTATTTGAAAGTTTATTATCAATCCTACCCATACTTCATTATCTTCTTCACCATATGTTTTCATGCATGTTTTACAATTATAACTTGCAGATTTACTGCTCTAGGCACGTGTCTTGTGAAAAGGTTCCAGTACCTCCCTGTCCTTCCTTCACTTTGGTTCTGGTGAAGAAATAAACATTCCTTCATCAGTGTCTACTAAAATGTTGCTTTTATATTACGTACCTATATCTTTAGCTTGTGCTTCCAAAAATTGAATTTAAATAATGATATATAAAGTATGTATGTTTGTTTGTTTCATTTTACGTCTTTTCTCAACAGTATTTCAGTCATATAGGCGAGTAGTTTCCTAACCATCGTTCTTGGAGAGTTACACTAGTACTAGACTACCTTCCTCCGCGCTAAATTATAAAGCATCTCCCGGGGATAGAACCTAAGCCAGAGAGATAACTGAATTAGAAGCCATCGACTCTTACCCCTCGACCAAGGAGGCGGTTAACTACAAGTACACCTACTGCTTGATCAGCGCTCATTTTTCTAATAACTTTTCCTATAAGCGTGATCGGGAGTACAAACAATCCAAATTCAAATCCCCAGTTTTCGGTAAAAGCATCTACACCCGAGGATGAAGGACTCCAGAACCTTGAATAGAACTTGACCAATTTGGCATTGTGTTCTGAGGCAAACCAGTCTACTGACAAATGGCCAAAACGGGTTTTGATCATAAACAGAAGTTTATTTGAAATCCCCCTGTCGTTGTAGTCGACAATTTTTGATAAATAATCGGCTCTTTCATTAAACGATCTGGGAATCCATTCCATGAATATTTGTATGGACTTTGACATACAAATCTTGAAAATTTGTATTGCTATGCTTTGTAACTCCTTATTCATGGACCCTTTCCTGACTATTGATGTAACCCCTTGATTATCACTGAACCACTTGATACTTTGATTAGAAATAATATGAGTTAATGAACAAATAACCCGATAAACCGCGGTCAGTTCTTTCCACGTGGAGGATTTGCTACTCTCAACAATTGACCATAAACCATGGGCAACTCCGTAACCGTACTAACCTCGTAACCTGCGAACCCAGAATTACTTGCATCTGAGTAAACAACTTTTGAGCATCTGACAGTATCAAATAAGTTCTTGCGATTTAAGTGTTCTAAATTTTCTTTCCAGAAATGTAACTGATCTAAGCTGTCGTCTGAAAGATGGATAAAATAATCCCATGACCTAGCATTCAAGATATCTATGCTAAGCGAACGAGTCATGATTTTACCTATTTGATCTATGACGATAGACATGAAAATAAGCTGCCCTATCAAACTTGCAACTTTTCTAACAGGTACTGTCCTGTGCACTTTGTGAGCATTCAGAATACAGTGTATTGTGAAAAACGCCTTTTGTATTTTCTGTTCAGGAATATACAGAACGCCTTCTGTGGAATTTAACAGAACACCTAAAAATTGTATGATCTGAACTGGAACCCAGACAGATTTGTCAACGTTTGGAATGAACCCAGATAAAAGTAAATCTTATTTTATTTGAACGCCTAATTGCTCTGTTTTACTGAAATCTGGCCACACCCAAAACCATCATCAAGAAACATCAATAATGACTTTCCTTCTCCTCTCTATTTTTTGACTAGGGGCCTAGTAACCTTAGTAAAAATATAACAAGCGCTGCTCAAACCAAATGGGAGTACAAGAAACTTGTAATAAGAAATCTTATTACCTTTATCAACCCATGAAAATCCCAAAAATTCGGTATGTGGCGGATATATCTCAATGAAATGGTACGCACTAGTGATGTCGAATTTTATCATGTGACAATCTTTCTTTAAGAAAGATAATGCTATTCTTAAATCCTCAAATTTGACCGACTGTTTCCAAATATGCTTGTTGACTGCTCTTAAATCTAAAATCAATCGTTTCTTACTAGAATTTTCAGACACTGTTAATGGGTTGACAATAAACGGTGGAGCTGAACATTCTTCTATAAGAGCAAGATCTAATAAATCTTGAATTGCCTCGGAAACGAACTGAATTTCGTTACCAGCAGACCTGTTATTTTTCAAAAAAGTCTCAGGTGGCAAAGAATAACTAGGACTCCGCGAGTCGGATGTGTCGCCTTGTGAACAATGTAGTTTAGGAGAAATGGCCAGGACAAAAATGAAATATGAAAAATAACAAAGGGCAATAACTAAAAAAATAATAAGTGCAGAGCAGCAGTTTCTGTGCACTGCACTTCTTATCAATAAGATCTATCATTCTATGATTTTTCAAGTCCATAGCTTTTATACTTGAGGAGAAATGACCAGGACAAAAATAAAGTAAGAAAATCAACAAAGGGCAATAACTCAAAAAATAAGAAATGCAGAGTATCAGTTCTTATGCACTGCACTTTTCCTAATGAGATCTATCATCCTATGAAGTTTCAAGTCCATAATTTTTATACTTTTGTAGAAATGGCCTGGACAAAAATTAAGTATGAAAATTAACAAAGGGCCATAACTCAAAAAAAAAGAAATGCAGAGTACCGATTCTTGTGCACTGCACTTTATGTTAATGAGATCTATCATCCTATGAAGTTTCAAGACCATAGCTTTTATACTTAAGGAGAAATGGCCCGGACAAAATTAAAGTATGAAAATAAACAAAGGGCAATTACTCAAAAAATAAGAAATGCAGAGTACCTGTTCTTGAGCACTGCAATTCTTCTTAATGAGACCTATCATTCTATAAAGTTTCAAGTCCATGGCTTTTATACATTAGGAGAAATGGCCCGGACAAACATAAAGTATGAAAATAAACAAAGGGCAATAACTCAAAAATTAGGAAGTGCAGAGTACCGGTTCTTGTGCATTGCACTTCTTCTTAATGAGATCTATCATCCTATGAAGTTTCAAGTCCATAGCTGTTTTAGTTGAAGAGAAATGGCCCGGACAAAATTAAAGAATGAAAATAAACAAAGGGCAATAACTCAAAAAATAAGAAATGCAGAGTACCTGTTCTTGTGCACTGCACTTCTTCTTAATGAGACCTATCATCCTATGAAATTTCAAGTCCATGGCTTTCATACATTAGGAGAAATGGCCCGGACAAAAATAAAGTATGAAAATTAACAAAGGGCAATAACTCAAAAATTAGGAAGTGCAGAGTACCGGTTCTTGTGCACTGCACTTCTTCTTAATGAGATCAATCATCCTATGAAGTTTCAAGTCAATAGCTTTTTTAGTTGAAGAGAAATGGCCCGGACAAAATTAAAGTATGAAAATTAACAAAGGGCAATAACTCAAAAAATAAGAACTGCAGAGTACCGGTCCTTGTGCACTGCACTTCGGGTTATTGAAAGAAGCATGCATACCAAGTTTGAAGTCAATCAGACTTATAGTGACTGAGTTATGCTCCGGACAAGCTTTAGGGGACGCCGACGCCGACAACGACGCCGTCGACACAGACGCCGCCGACAAAGTAACCCCTATATGTCACCTTTTCAAGGCGACACAAAAATGAATCTTATAACCGTTTTCTATCACATCAAGTATATACTGATTAGTACCAATTGAACGCCAAAAATCAATATGCTGCCTTAAACGGCCCCTAACAATAATTTTCTTTTGGCCTTGTTCATACTCAAAATAGTCACTGGTAAATCTTTGATAATCAAAACTATACTCATCTTTCATATAATATTCCTACTTGAATAATGTTGAATCACCCTTAGGATATGTTGCCTGCTTTTGATATTTGTCTTTTGACGTCTTATCTGTGATACGCAGGCTTCATAACCTCTGATCCCCTTTCAAAATTCCATTTTATTTAGTTCCGCCCATTGTTTTCTCGTTTAGGGCACACGCTTTTTATTACTTGGGGACCATACGCCGCTTTTCATGGAATGGCACGGAAGTGTCACATTGAAGGTTCCATGATAACCGCCGTATGAACACATCTGCGGATGTTTCTAAATTCAAAATTTTACTATTTCATGTTTAAATGTTGAATTCTGCTTAAGCCGGTGCTAGGGGGCGTGGACGGTAACTTGCACTTTCCAGTACCGTCCATGAACAGGCTCAATCAAACCGGGCCTGCAACATTTTCAATAATTTTGCCGTGTTGGGCTTTCTTTAGGGATTCTGTATTTATCTATTTTTTTTTTTTCAAAGAGTCAATGTTCATTAGCTCATTTGCTTGTCGTTTGCTGTTTCCACTGGGTTCTACCGCCTGTATTTGGACAGTCCCGCCGGTAATCGTCGAGGTTTCCACATGCGTAGCATGGCCCTGATGCTGTTCCGTAGTTCGCGCCTGAAACGCCGCCTTTTCTTGCCCCGTAGAATCCACGAAAGGACTGTATTCTCGGAAACTGTTGCTGCCCTGATTGAAATGAAGGTGCAGGTGCTCCCATGTTTTGCCATGATAGTAGCCAGATGTGCCAGGATGATTATCGTAAGACTTGCCGCCCTTGCCGCCCCTGGAACTAGACCTTTTTTCGTTTAAGTGCACGATTTTCTGCCTTGTTGATTTTGGCATCATCTTCTGAGTCGCTTGCGATTGGATTTGCCTCGTATGATCTGACCGTGTCCCAGCCCCCGGGACATCCGTCGATGATTCTAATCAACTTGTTGCGCTTTCTCAGTTTCTCAGTGAGTTCTGATAACAACTTCTTCGAATAATCGAATTTACAATGTTCAATAGCCCAAACAGTCTGTTTGGCTAATTCTTCGAGCTCTGAATTGAAAATAAATTGAATCTTGTTACCCTGGAATTTCCAGACGAGTTCTTGTTCTGATCTCAACTTCTTGACTTCTGAAGCCACGTTGAAGGTGTTGCCCTGAAGTTCTTGTTTCAATGATTGAACTTCTTCCCGCTGAGTTTGTAATTCGTCAAGAACACGTTGAAGTTGGTTTTCAACCCGTGAAGTTTCGCCATTTATGCCACCGTTTGCCACGTTGTCATTTTCCATCATGCAAAAATAATCGACGTGTAGAATGGTCAGTAACCCAAAGCTGAACTGACACATAACTTGACTACCGTTACGCACGAAAGATTCGTGCGCTAATCGCGACCCCTATCGGAGACTTAACACGATTGAAGGGAAAATAATTTCTTTCTAATTCGTCTGCTCAAACGAAAGAAATTATATTTCATAAATAATGTATTTTTGAATAATTATGTTGTTAAGTTTTTTTGTTGTTGTTTTTTAAGGGAGATAAATATTAAAAGAAATTCAAATTATAATTTATGTATACTATTGAAAATATAAAATAGAGAAAAACGGAATCCCTAAAGAAAGCCCAACACGGCAAAATTGAAAATGTTGCATGCTCGGTTTGATTGAGTCTGTTCATGGACAGTACTGGAAAGTGCAAGTTACCGTGTACGCCCTTTAGCACCGGCTTAAGCAGAATTCAACATTTAACACGAACTGGTACAATTTGGAATTTTGAAACATCCGAAGATGTGTTCATATGACGGCTATCATGGAACCTTCAATGTGACACGTAAATGCCATTCAATGAAAAGCGGCATATGGTCCCCAAGTAAAAAATGCGTATGCCCTAAACGAGAAAACATTGGGCAGAACTAAATAAAATGGAATTTTGAAAGGGGATCTAAGGTTGAAGCCTGCATATCACAGATAAGACGTCAAAAGACAATTTATAAATCTTACTTTTGTCATACTTTAAGGTCCCTGTAGTACACTTTTTTGTTTTGTGAATAAACTCCCTGTTGGACTGTTGTCAATGTTTACAACTCATAAATCTAAAAATAAAACTACATTTTAGATTCGCAAATCACTAGAACATATTGTTG